TTGGACTTCGCCTGGATATGACTCCTGCTTTTGAGATTATGCATTATAAGGGAAGGAAGGATACATAAAAGAAGATCCACTACTGACTTTTCCCAACTTCCCCACCCTCTCTCCTCCCTATACCCGATGAGATTCCAAGTCCTGTCAGTTTTCACCTCCTAAATCTCTTCCTAATCTGCCCATTCTCTCCATCACACCGCCCCCCTTCTCCACAGCTCCTGTCTCCTACCTGGGCTGCTCCTAACAGTAGCCTTCTAACTGGTTTACCCATATCCGCTCTAGCTGTTCTTCAGTCTCTAAGGGCTCTCCAGTTCAGAACTCTTAGAATGTTCTTAGAACTCTCCAGTTGCTTCCATTGTTCACAGGGTGAAGATCAAATTCCCTAATGTGGCCTACAAGGCCCTGCAGGGCCTGGCCCACCTCTCTCTCCTGCCTCATTTCCTACCACTCCCCTTTTGCTCTCTCTGCTCCACACCCCTCACACCCTGTGCTTCCTCCTACCACCTGCCTTTGCACTTGCCCTTCTCTGCCTGGATTCTTTTCCCATCCCCTTTCTCCTAGATGACTCCTATCCTCCTGTAAGTCTCAGCCTAGTTTACACTTTAAGAGAAGCCTTCCTGACCCTGCGTACTGGTCCCAACCCCCTATTTTCTGTTTTCAAACCCTCCTTGTAGCCTTTGTCACAGTTTGTGTAAGAATTTGATTAACATTTTTCTTCTCCACTGAACTGTGAATGTTATCTCCTTTGCTCACCCTTATCCTCAGGGGCCTAGCAGAGCCAGTGATGGTGTTTGTAGGGCTCAATAAATATAGCTGAGTGAACCATGCCCTGAGTTAGAAAACCATATGGAATCGTATTTGAATTGGTTATATTAAGTCCTTCATAGATGTGGGGTAGGGTCTTCCAGACTTTATTCCTTGAGATACCAATTTTAAGAGATGCTAATAAATTTTACTATAGCAAGGATTTCATGGCCAAAAAAATGTTGGAAACATTAAGTTAAATAGGTTTCTTTACTATAGGACCTCACAAAGCCTTTAATATGCTAATATGCATTGTGAATCTTTTATAGAAAAGAATAAGATACACCATTTCCTAAATTTATTTGACTTTGGAAACATTAGGGAGGAATCCTTGTAGCACAATGGTTATGGATGGGTACAAGCTTCAGAGTCAGACTTTCTGGGTTTAAAGCTAACCTATTTCACTTACTAGCTTTAATGTATCTCTGCTTCAGCTTTTTTCATCTGTACAGTTAGGATGATAATAGATAGAATCTCCTGTTTTGAGGATCAAGTGCTTAGAATGGTGGTTGATGTTAGTTAATTTTTTAGCATAGCACGAGTGTTCACAGGAACATTCTTTGGGAAATGCTGATGTGAGAGAAGGAGTATTGGTCTGGGAACCTGGATAGCTCTGTTGCCTTAGGCAAGACTCCTAAACCTCTTTTGAGCAACAAATTTTTCCATTGTGTATTGAGAGAATCGATTCTGGGTGAGCTCTAGGTCTTTCACAATTCAAATTTGCCAAAATTCAATTACTTTCAAGTTGCTAAAAATAACAGAATATGCAAGGCCATCCAAAATCACTGTGACATCATAAACAAAAGATCAGATCATTTTTAGAAATTCTTTTTTAGACTAATTTGTCATTTGTGGGCTCTTTGAGGATTGGGTTGACGTTTTCTTTCTGAGTGGATCCTTAAGCTTTATTTGGGAAAGGATATACTTGTTTACTTATACCCACATAACTTTTTTTTTGGAACTCTTTAGGTCGTCTCAACGACATATATGGAGACTACAAATACACATACTGGGCATGTGGCGTAATCCTAATCATCGCAGGCATCTATCTCTTCATTGGCATGGGCATCAATTATCGACTTCTGGCAAAAGAACAGAAAGCAGAGAAGAAGCAGAAAAAGGAAAGTAAAGAGGAGGAGACCAGTATAGATGTTGTTGAGAAACCAAAAGAAGTTACCAATGCAGCAGAATCTCCAGAGCAGAAAGGCACAGAAGGAAGCCCCAAAGAGGAGGAGAGTCCAGTCTGAACCCGTGGGGCTGAAGGGTAAATGGAGCAGCCTGTGACCCAAGATATCTGAAGATATTCTGCTGGCCTGTAATCTACCAGTGGTGCTCAATGCAAATAGTGGACATTGTGTGGAAATCATACCAGGTGTTCATTGATGGAATTTTTGTTTCACTCCTTACCAGTTGCCTGAATTAAAAATGCCATATCTTTTGGGGAGGAAGTGGTTGGCAAAGAATGAGGGAGGAACGTCTTTTTTTTTCTTTTTTTTAATCTTAGCTTTTAACAGTGTCAGAAAGATTATAATATGTGCCTTAAGTTTTAGTCTTTAGAACTCTTTAGGGAGCCTTAACTTTTTAAAGCATTCTGCTGAATTCATCTATTTTAAGTGTCATGTTAAAAGAGAAAATAACTAACTTGTTTGAAGCAAATCTAAAATTTAAAATTATTCTTGCTTCATTGTAATTTGTAATATATTGTCAGACATAGTTACTGGAAGATTTATGAATAGAAATATTGGTTGGAAGTTGGGGCTTTTATAAAATTCTGACTAAAATATTTTCCTAGCATCAGTAGTTAGTTGCCTGGCATATGTGCCTGCTAGCTATATATTTAGGAACGTAAAGCATAAAACTTTGGAAACTTCTTGGCTGTTCTAGACACATTGTACTCATCAGCACCCCTCTAGTATTGTTTCTTGGAATGCTTATTAGAAGCCAAGTGCTTGAGAGTTAATTTCATTAAATTATATTTTTGTTCTCCTTTTCAGAGACCTATTTTGAGTGGTTATAGATCATTGCCCTTTTGAGATCACTTAGTATTATTTTTTTCGCTGTAAAAGTATTAAAATATACAGAACTATATATTTATGCTTCCTTGGTAAATACAACATATCTAATTAAATGTAGACAGATATTTCAAACAGCAGCTGGATTCAGTTTAGGTTTTTCCAAAACCTCAGTTAAGCTGTGAGACTTGGAATCTTTCTGTTTTCCCTGGAATTTTCCCCCTTTGATCCGTAGTAGTTCCATTTATATCTGCATCTAGCTTAGAGCTGTGTGTGAGATACTCAGTCTTTGTATGTTTAAGGTTTTTTTTTTTTCCCCCAATGTTTGCTAATTAAAGAGAGCCAGAGAGATTTGGCCCCAGGCAAACCAATGAGGATAAGATTGGGAGGGAAGTTGCTAAGTGTACTTACTTTTAATAAATAACTCTTTTTCTTTTTTCTGAGAAGGCCTTAAAAAAAATTATGTTTTGCTTAGAATTATTGGACACATTCTTACTCTCCACACAAATCTAAAGAGTTGTGACCCTTTTCACTTACCTGAAAAGTAGAGAAATGGGTTTATTTTAAGGATAGGAGGGAGGATGGACCAGAGTGAAACGGTATTTCTTAACCTAATATCTTTTAAATTGAGGCAGGAAGATAATGATAGACATTCAATGAATTATATTCAGTGCATTTTAAAGTAGCATTGTAATTGACAGCGAAAGTGTAGATACAAAACCTTGTATAAGGGGCTGGCTTTTCCAAATAAACTTTTTTTTTTTTTTAAAGAAATGTTTCTTCTTTAAAACGTGTATTTTCTTGAGGAAAATATTGCTGTCTTCATTTTCTTTATCAAGATTCAATTTGGCCCTTGCTGATATTAAATTAAATCATTCAGCTTATGTGCTTTGGGATTTGTGTATATGGCTTGTTTTATTTTAGTTTTTCTTCTTTCCTTTTCTTTACCTTAAGATAAGCAGGAGAATTTTAAAACCACCTCTCTGAAAGCAACCAGAGCAGTTAACCTTAAGGACACAATGAAAACTCCCTTTCTGTGTCACGGCAGATGGAGGAGGAATTTTGGGGGAGGAGCCCGCTGTGATTGTTGGCAGGTTTGGCTCCAGTTTGGACTCTGCCATTTTCCACGGACCCGAGTCCATAACCTCTGTGTGTCTCTTTCCCCTTCTATAAAAATGAGCTTTACTGTCGGTGAGATAATATGAGTAAAGGAAATGTGCAAAAAAAATTAAGAAAAAGTAAAGCAAGTTGACTCTTGTTAGTGGAGTGAGGGGTTTGTGGTGCAGTTTCACCACCCCTTATGAGAAGGAAGGGTTCTGAAGTTGCTGTATTCGGAAGCAAGGGTTAAAAATTGGCTCAAAGCTGGAACTACACCTTTTATCACCCAGTCCAACCCTGACTTTTTCCCACTGAAGATACAGGCTTAAGGGATGTATTCAAGATCAATTTTGGTAACAGAGCCAACACAAAAATCCAATATAGACCTACTCTGTGCCACCCTTCCTTGTTATAAATCAGTTAATCCTGTGTTGCAGTTGTGTTCAACACTGGAAGCAGCTGGGCTTTCTGATCCAGTCCGTTGTCCCGTATTCCATGTGAGAACTGAACTTGTTTCAGTTCACACAGTTTCACTGGCTGCTTTGGGAAAATAGATGTATGCATGGAGGACCTGCCCATCCTTGCTCGTCTCTGTCCCACACCCTCTGTAAGTCACGGAGAGAACGTTTACAGCGCTTAAGTAGTTGTAGTGCCAGTAGTCCAAAGAGGCTTGGGACTGTTCAAGAGTACACTCTGAAACAGGATCCCAAGTCAAAGCTGGAAAATCATTTAAGAAACTAATAGGTTGGACAACTGCAGTCGATCATGGTAACAAACAAGACTGTATTATCACCTTATACTCAAGTCTATTGAGAATTTAAATTAACAAGCCAAAATAAAGGAGTAATTTCTACAAAAAGTATTCAGAAAAGCATGATGGTAAAACAAATTGTGGAAAACTCAGAGATGTATTTTATCCCAGATTTAATCACATTGATGATAATCCTTTGGATTTTTGGGTTGTCTGAATTTAGTAGTTCGTTTGTACCATAGATATATATGTCAGTATTAATCCTGTATTTTAAAAGAAAAAAATTTGTTAAAAGCTATTTAATATTTTTGTATGAACCAATGTTTTATTGTATTGAATTTCAGATTGATAAAATGGGTATTGGTTTGTCTGAAAAACCTAGATGTCTGGATTTTACCTTCCCTAGCAGATGGTTCACAGTATAAACCTAATAATCAGGTGTGTCCCTCCCCTTCCCCCCCCCCCCACAGTTTTGCTTGGAAAGATGAGGAAAAGTTAACAGTAAATTTCCACCTTTGCAACCTGTCTTGTTTTAATGCAGGTTAGGCACTTGCCTAGAAGACATGAAGAAAGAGGTAGTGATAGACTGTGTCACTATGAAAACTCTCAGGACTTGACAGGAAGTGACAGCCCAAGCTTGCCTGCTTGCGCAAATATGAGCAATTAAGCCAAGTTGCTTCAGAGTTTAGAAGGATCTAAGGGAATTTTAAGTACATCACTCCTGAAATGTGTTCTAGCTTTAGAGTTTTAGATTCAGTCATCCTTTCCTCCATTCCATCTGGGCCCTGGTGGCAAAATCATTTAAATGGAGTGACTGGTAGAATATCTTTCTCCTCAGCTGAACAGCACTGATTTACTTACTTTTTGCTGACTTTTACCCTGACCTGCCTGGGGAAACTGGGATAGTTTAGCAAACGAATCACAGCCTGCTGCTTGCTTAACAATATACAGTAGTCCTCCCTTAATCCACGGTTTTGCTTTCTGTAGTTTGTTACCTGAGGTCATCTGCAGTCCAAAAATATTAAATGGAAAATTCCAGAAATAAGCAATTCATAAGTTTTAGATTGCATGCTGTTCTGAGTAGCGTGATGAAATCTCGCTTCATCCCACTCAGTACTTGAATCATCCCTTTGTCCAGCATATCCACACTGTATACATTACCTGCCCAGTCACTTAGTAGCCCTCTCGGTTATCAGACGGACTGTCGCAGTATCACAGTGCTTGTGTTCAAGGAACCCTTATTTTACTTAGTGACCCAAAAGTGCAAGAGTCGTGATGCTGGCAATTTGGATATGCTAAGGAGAAGTTACTGTTGTTAATCTTACTGTGCCTAATTTATAAATTAAACTTTGTCAGAGATATGTATGTATACGAAAAACATAGTATATACAGGGTTCAGTACTATCTGCAGTTTCAGGCATCTACTGGGGGTCTTGGGACATATCCCCTGCAGATAACGGGGGACTACTGTAGGCTGCCTGGATTCAAATTGAGGCTTTGTGACCTCAAACAAGTTACTTAGCCTCCCTAAGTAAACATCAGGTTTCTTTTTCTGTAAGGGTTGTCTAGGGTTGTCATGAAAGTTAAGTTGATATGTGACAGCTTGTGTTAAGCAAGTGCTTAATAAGTGTAAGCATCTGACTATAAAGAATAAATCAAAGAAAATTAATACTTAGGTAAAAATTGAGCTCTTCTAATTCCTAAGGTAGATCCACACTTGCAGAGGATAGTTTGGGAGTGGCTCTTAAACAGTAAGAATATTAGCTAAATGATCAAATTCTCCTTTTTTTTTTTTTGTGAGGAAGACTAGCCCTGAACTAACATCTGATGCCAATTCTCTCTCTTTTTTTTTTTTTTTCGTGCTGAGGAAGATTGGCCCTGGACTAACATCCATGCCCATCTTCCTCTACTTTATATGGGACGCCGCCACAGCATGGCTTGACAAGCAGTGCATTGGTGTGTGCCCAGGATCCAAACCTGTGAACGCCGGGCCGCCGCAGCGGAGTGTGCACACTTAACTGCTGTGCCACTGGGCTGGCCCTCAAATTCTCCTTGTTGATCAGATCTTCCTTTTAGTCTTAAAAATGTAATGGTTTGGGGCTGGCCCTGTGGCGTAGCGGTTCAGTGCGTGCACCCCACTGCTGGCAGCCCGGGTTCGGATCCCGGACGTGCACCAACACACTGCTTGTCAGGCCATGCTGTGGCGGCGTCCCATATAAAGTAGAGGAAGATGGGCACAGATGTTAGCCCAGGGCCAGTCTTCCTCAGCAAAAAAAGAGGAGGGTTGACGTGGATGTTAGCTCAGGGCTGAGATTCCTCACAAAAAAAATAATAATAATGTAATGGTCTTTTTTTGGTAAATAAATGAATGGAACTAACAACTCACGAGGCTGGTGCATATATGTCTAGCTCTTTGCGTAAGATGGACTTGAACCCCAAAGCCCTTGCTCTTTCTACTCGGACAGCACACTGCCTCCGTGGGGAAGAGATGCCTGACGAGTAGCAGAGCAGCTTCCCCTTTGATATCTGTGATGATTCTGAAAGAGAAGAAATATAACTAGTAACCAATCATGACTAAAGTTTTCTGTCCCTAGCAATGTTCTTCAATGCAAACTGAAAGATTGATGAGGTTTTTATTTTTCCCTACTACATAGATGACATGATTTAAATTATAAATTACCATCAGTTGGTGGCTGAATAAATAGGTGTGACATATTGGCAAAGCAATTTCATAATATGTGTCGAGTACCATGAGTTCACATATTTTTCTTAAGAATTCCAGATTTGGAATTTATATAAGAAAGTTATGTCTGTCTTAACTGGAAATTAAAATTACCAATTTCTTTGCAAAATCTTAAAATGTGTATCAATAACTATTTAAATGGTTATGAAGTCCTTATGATATAAACATGGCATGATGTTAAATGAAAAAGCAGAACACAAACTACCATGATATATGTCTGTGTGTGTGTGCATAATACACATATACACATGCACGGGGAACAAAGGACATACACAAATATGCTGATCACTTTGTGAGCATGGTAAAATTAAAGATGACTTTTTTCTATATATTTTCCATATTCTAAATTTTCTTAATGTGATAGTTCTTTTATACTAAAAGAAAACATTTAGGTAGCATATACTACTGGTTTACAGAGTGGCATATAACAGTATACTTGAAAAAACAGTATATTTGATCTAGAAGGGTTCTAGCAGGAGACACATGACTCCTAAGAAAATGAAGCTGATGACTATTAGAAGCAGGTTATTTTTTTATGCTTCAAGAGTTGCATTCTGGTGGAAGGGAGGAGAATGTGACGTGAAAGTCAAGAGCACGGTGGTCTCAAGTCATGATTTTGCTGGTGATAACCAAAGCTGTAGAGTGTAGAGTCCACGGGCTGCCTATGCCAGCTGCCAGTGCCTCCTTCCTGGACACAGTGCTCTTGGGGACAGTGTTCCTGTGGTTCCCCTTCTGATCATCATTCAGCTGCAAGTGAATATTAAACTCAGGGAGCCAGAGCATTCAGTATTTACCCATGTCACAGTGTTGCAGTCTTAAATATCTCACTGAAATCAGCATCAGAAAAAAAACACTGATGTCACAAAAAGACAGGAGTAGAATTTGTCCACAGAGCTATCATTTGTTTGTTTACCCGCAGGTATTTATTGGACTCTTACTGTGTCCCAAGCATTGTTCTAGGCTTTGAGAATCCAGCCATGAACAAAACACAGTATGTCTTCCCATGCATCGTACTGTCTAGTAGGAGAAAACAATGAATAGTAAGTTGTAAGGAAAACATCAGTATTGAGAATAGAGCAATGGATATAAGATCAGGCTTCATTAATTCATTCATCTAAACAGTATTATTTGGAGCATCTTTTTTTTTTTATCATTTTTATTTATGTATTTAT